TATTTGGAAATATATCTTGTTTCCTTTCTTCCTGCATAAATTTTCAGTTTCAGACTTAGAAGTTGATGCTGAAGAAGGGAAGTCCATCGGATACATATTCTTGGATTCGTCTACTGTTGGAATTTTTAGTCTCTCTGATATTTGTCGAACTGGAGTCAAGGAAGCAATCCAAGAACTAAAATTAATGGGCATTAAAACTGCTATGCTTACAGGAGATTGTCATGCAGCAGCTAAGCGTGCACAAGATCAGGTGATTCATCAAGCCCTTATTTTTTTACAGATTCGTTGCCATGTCTTTGTATCATCCCAATCTTAATTGGATTGCATCCAATTGATATTTGTTGATAATTGTCATGTCCACAAATTCGAAAATTTACCAATAGAAAGGATGATATGTATTTGCAGATAGGGGGTGCTTTAGACATGGTACATGCAGAACTTCTACCAGAAGACAAAGCAAGGATTGTCAAGGAATTTCAGAAGGAAGCACCTACAGCCATGATTGGTGATGGCATGAATGACGCCCCTGCATTGGCTACAGCTGATATTGGCATCTCAATGGGCATCTCAGGCTCGGCACTTGCGAAGGAGACAGGGCAAGTCAGTCTAATGTCAAATGACATTGGAAAGATTCCAAAGGTTGTCCGACTTGCAAGAAGGACCCGCAGGAAAGTAATCGAGAATATCATTTTATCAATTGCTACCAAAGCTGCCATATTGGGATTGGCCATTGCAGGTCACCCACTAGTTTGGGCTGCAGTTCTTGCTGATGTTGGGACTTGCTTGCTAGTGATCTTTAACAGCATGCAACTTCTACAAGGAACTCCAAGATATAACAGAAAATATTGGAAATCACATACTGCGATACAAGCCGACAAACATGGATGCAGAACTACTGGTGGCTGCTCCTCCCTCACCCATGATCACCAATCATCTGGGATTGAAACTCAAAAGAAGTGTAATCCTCCAGAGTGTTGTTTTGTCCCTGTTAGCTTGATGCCTTGTGCTAGTAATTTGTGCTCAGAGTCAGATGACAAGCATGGTCATTTACATGATAATCACCTGCATGAGGCAAAACACTGGGATCATGAAAAATGTGACACGGAAACTGGGGATCATGAAAAATGTGACATGGAAACTCAGGACGAGGAATCACACAGTGAACACAATCATGTTTGCTCTGCCCATTCAAACTCTTGTAGGGAGGATGAATGCATAAGCTCAGTTGAAATTTGTGGTGGCTATGAAGCAGGTGATGAGATCCAGGAAGCAAAAGACAGCAAGCATCAGGACCCTAGCAAGATCGATCATATTCTGGGATCACGGTGTGTTCACAACAGTTCTGCAAAACTAGGCCAAGATATGCCCGTAAATAATCACTGCCACATGAACAGTTGTGCAGAAAACAACATGGTCAAGATTAGGTGCAGGAAGTCCCCGACAAATGGCCATCTTCATTCTGATTGCAATCAGCTACATAAAACCTTATCATCCGCTACTAGCCATGTGGAATGTACATATGTTAGGGCTTGCAAGAGTTTGAAGAAGAGACGGTTTGTAGCATGTTGCAGGAGCATTAGGCAGCAGTGCTGTGGCAGTAGTGGACATTTTGGTTCTAGTTTCAGAGGAAGTTTACCTGAAATCGTCATTGCCTAGATTTACCTTCAAGAATGTTCAAAGTTAACCTCTTGTTTTCCCAGTCATCTGACTAGGGAACTTTATGAAAATGTGTGAAAGGTACTTGATGTATGAAAATAAATGATGTATCATGCAATGTATAATACTTGTTAAATTACGATATATGAATTGAAGGTATGCTAGATCTGGTAACACGAATAACAAATAGATTGGGTATGTAGTCCTTTACTTGTAACAAGCTGCACACATGGCACCACATGCCATGTTGATACTTTATAATGAAGGTCTTATCATTCACTTGTTACAATCCAACTAAGCCCCTTGTTGGACTCTAATTTTTCTGAGGCAGGATAGAGCTTCATCCAATGATAATGCGACACATGACATGGTATGAACCCCGTGTCTTCAATCTGGCAAGAACTGACCCTTGCCTTCACAAATGACTCTTACGAGACTCGAACCCCTAATGTCATTGCTCAGAGGTGAACTACCATTCAGACAAATTCAGTGGTGGTAGTCAAACCTAATCGTTGCCTATAATGTTAAGAGGTATGTACTGAATTACATTTGAATGAACAGGTAATCCATATTTTGTAAGATACAATTGGTAATCAGAAATTGATATACATTGCCAATTTCAACATGTTCTTCATAATACAAGTACCTTTGAAACTGTCAACAAAATTTCCCAAACGAATTACAGGGAAAAGAAGTTGAATATCCTTTTAAGTAAACCTATTCGATGATAATTTCTGACAAACCTCCTTTGAAACTAGCACCAAAATGTCCATTCTTGTCACAACACCCCTTCCTGAAGCTCTCACAACATGCACCAAATTGTCTATTCTCCAAACTCATACAAGCCTTAACAGTTGTACATTCCACATGGTTAGAAGCCGAACACAAGTTTTTGTGAAGCTTACCACCTTCTGTAGCATGCTTGTTGCTCTCAGAATGATCCTCCCCATTTGGTGGGCAATTCTTGCTACAACATTTGATCATGCTGCTTAATGCTTCGTCGCCAATGTGGTTTTCTAAGCAGTTTTTCATGCAAATGTTCTTGTGGCTATGCTTATTGATAGGCAAGTCCTGGTCTAGTTTGGAAGAACTGATTGAACAATCCAAGTGGCTGTGCACACTCTGCGTTGCCATGTTGTGATTGATCATGCTATGGTCCTTGTGCTTGCAATGTTTTGCCTCATGGATCATATCACCTGCTACACAACCACCATGATTTTCAACTTTTATTACGTCTTCATCCTCCCCACAACAGCTCGAATGGCCTGAGCAACCATGGTTGTGTACACTGCCTAATTCTATATCCTTAGTGATCATGTCACATTTTCCATGATCCCCATGTTTTGCCACTTGTAGCTGATTATTATGTGAACAATGACCATGCTTGTTCACTATGTCTGAGCTCTTATCATTCACGAGTGATCTTGAACTGGAAAGGACAGAATCACACCTTGATGCACACATCTTGGAAGAGCAGCTTTGAGGCTCATACTTCTTTTGAGCTTCAATACCAGAACAACAATGTTGTTTGGTGTGGGAGCGGTGGTCACCATCAGTTTTGCATCCATGTTTGTGGTCATGCAGCACAACAGAGGATTTGCAGCATTTTTTTGGATATTGTGGTGTTCCTCGTAAAAGTAGCATGCTGTTTAAGATCACTAGCAAGCATGTCCCAACATCAGCCAGAACTGCTGCCCAAACTATGGGGTGCCCTGCAATGGCCAATGCCAGTATGGCAACCTTAGTAGTAACTGACAAAATCATATTCTCAATCACTTTTTGGCGGGTTCTTCTTGCAAGTCGGGCTGCCTTTGGTATCTTCTGAATGTCATTTGACATGAGAATCACTTGCCCTGTCTCAGTTGCAAGGGCCGAGCCTGAAATCCCCATTGAGATGCCAATGTCAGCTGTAGCTAATGCAGGGGCATCATTCACGCCATCACCAATCATGGCTGTAGGTGCCTCCTTCTGAAATTCTTTGATGATCCTTGCCTTGTCCTCTGGTAGAAGTTCTGCATGCACTACATCTAAAGCATTCCCTAACTGCAAACAAATGGTTTCCCTTCCATTAGAACAATTTATCTTCGTAGCATTACAATGTCAAGAATATAAAGGTGTCACTTTAACATAGATCATAGTTCTTTTGGTTTCACATGAAAAAATCCTGTTTAGCTTAATTTAACTGTATCAAATTATAGCCCAAACAAAGATCCAGTCCAAGGATAGGAGTGTCAAGGACTTGTGTTCAATCAATATCAACTGCTTACAATGTAGTTAAGATTGACCCATTGCACATGAATGGCAAGTGAACTATAAAAATTAAAAGCTATATATATGAATCACCTGATCTTGTGCATGCTTAGCTGCTGCATGACAATCTCCTGTAAGCATAGCTGTTTTAATGCCCATTGTTTTCAATTCTTTAATCGCCTCTTGGACCCCAGTTCGACAAACATCAGAGAGACTGAAAATTCCAGCAGGAAGAGAATTCAAGAATATGTATCCAACAGACTTTCCTTCTGTAGCACCACCTTCTAAGATTGGAACTGGAAGTTTGAAGATTTAAATGATTAAAACAAAGCAAGAAGAAATAAATGCTCAATATATTGCACATATACATGTGCAAAGAAACGAAAAATATTGGAGTACAATTTTTCCTGAAAACTAAGAATAGACCCGAGGATATCACTATTGCTTTGGAAGTCATGGTTTTAGAAGATGATTTCGAATATATTAGAAGTGAAAATTTTCACCTGTTGCACATCCTGCTCTCATGGCAATTTTTCTGTTCCCAACATAGATATCATTCCCATCAATTTTCCCATAAATGCCTTCTCCAGGAAAATTTTGAAATTCCTCGACTCTGTCAGGCTTTGGCTCAACAGAAAGTGAATGTCCATGGTCAATAAGTGCAGCCGCCATTGGATGACTTGATTTGCTCTCAATGCTTGCAACCCTTTACAATTAGTAAGCATGTTAGTTTCTATGTCAAACAAAGATTTAGTTAATGAGAAACTTGGGTAGACAGAAACCAAACTCATCCATGTTCTTTATTTTTGAACTCATCCTACATTGTGGTAATCTAATTGTTCGAACAAGTAACCCTTACCAGTAAAGCAATGTGTTCATGTCAACATTGTCCAAGAGAGATTGAAAATCTGCCACTATGAATTCTCCTTTAGTTATTGTCCCAGTTTTGTCGAAAGCCATGATCTTTATCTTAGCCAAAGTTTCAAGATACTCTGCTCCTTTGATCAGAAGACCTGATGTTGCTGCCTTTGAAAGTGCACAAAATGTGGCAACCGGTGTAGAGAGAATAAGTGCACATGGACATGCACTTACTAGAACAACCAGGGCTAAGTGATACCATTCATTGCGGTTGTGAAGTTTTAGTGCCGCGGGAACAACTGCCAAAGAAGCTGATATAGCCATAATGGCTGCAAAGCATAAATAGTAAAAACATCAGGCCAAATTAAAATTAGCATTTCTAAATTTGTTGATAAAGAAAATAATAGACACCTCAATGTTTATTTAACATTGACTAACCTGGTGTATAGAACTTGGCGCATTTGTCTATGTATCTTTGAGTCTTAGATTTATTGTTTTGAGCATCTTCTACAAGCTTTGCCATCCTAGCCACCACACACTCTTCAGCTTGTGCTGTGGTTTTAACACTAACATAACCTAAAGCGAGGATTAAAACCTGTTAGCAGAAATTTCTTACACCCTAAAAACCAAAACACAAGAATCAAGAGGGAAGTTATACCATTTAAATTGATTGTGCCAGCCCAAACAGTGGATTCCTTTTGTTTGGCCACCGGGAATGATTCGCCCGTTAAAGTTTTCTCATCAACTTCACATGTCCCTTCTACAACAATACCATCTATGGGTATAATGTCACCTGCCTTAATAGCTAGAATTGTGTCCACCTTGACTTCAGCAACATCAACTTCTTCTCCAGTTTCAGCTAATACTGCTCTTTGAGGAACTATGTTCACCAACGATGACATGACAGCAGTGGCCTATGCAAGCATGATATAGCCATCCATTATATACACATCAAATTGCAAATCAACGAATAGTGCCTATCTGTGTTTAATTGATCATCAAAACTAGTAGTTGTATAACTAATTTTAATCCAGGAAAGACCAATTTGCAGAATCAGAATCAGGTAAATGTTGAAAATAAAAAAGAACATTTAATGACATAGTACACTATTATGCAGTGTCTATCCTTAAGGTGAATGTTTTTTGATTTTTCTAATATTTCAGGTTTATAAATGTTTATTCACATTTCCAATACAAAGAGCAGGACAATTGTAAAATCAACTGTAACATTCTGCTATTGTTATATGGTACCATATTCTAATTTGTCCAACTTTATATTAAAAAAAGGATTGATTTGCTATTAACTAGTACACTAAAAATGACTCAGTAAATAATTTCCAAGATCAACTTGGTGCCAAGTTTAATGGCAAAAGGTTTCATCCACTCTCAAACATTTAAATTCACAGCAATCCTAATTGTAAACTCTACAAGGTTTAAGGTTTCATCTACAGAATATAGTAACTGTCAAATGGCAATGCAACTTTTTCACTAGTGAAATAACATATTCATGGGTTTATGGAATCCGAATCCTCTGTTGTTAGTTTTTTTAACCGCAGGGGCGTCGTTTCACACCAAAACGACATTATTTAGAACAACGTCGTTTTAGTGTGAAACGGCTTCGTAGAACAATTGACAAACCTTGTGAGTAGCCCTTGACTCGAGCCATTCTGCTGTTGTAAAGAGAAAGACAATGGTAGCAGCCTCCCAATAATCATGTAGAACAATTGATCCCGCAACTGCAACATGTGCAAAATTGACAACAAATATTCAAAAGTGAACTTTGCAACGCTAACATGATCCATATCAAAACTGGCATGCATGGTGTTTTCTTTTCGATTTTTTGTATTTTCTTTTGGATGATTGACATTTTGCACTCTAAAAGATTATCAAATTTTTAATTTATACCCTAAACGGATTAAAATTCTTTAATCTGATTGAGGATGCAATATAAAAATTTTATTCTTTCATAGGATAAATTGAGAATGTAAAAATCTTCCGGGGTATAAAATGTCATTTGTCCTTTTCTTTGCCTCTCTTTCTTGACTCGGGTGGGTCAAAATGAAGTAAAAGAAAACTCCATACAATATAATTAAAATTTGTTATTTGTAATTAGTCATAATCTCACTCATTTATTAATTATGTCAGTTGGTTTTATGTGTATGTGTGTGTGTATATATTTTGTTTTTTTGTATTTCTGTTATTTCAGATTTTTATCGTCTTCATTTGACCTGACCAGGATACGATGCAACTCGTTAGGTTAATGGGCTTTTGAGAAATTTATTAATTGAACTTTGTTATTTGAATCCATCTAATTCTCTAATTTAATTCCATGTTTTAATTGAATTGACAATAAATCACATTCTTGTTAAAACTAATTTTAATTCCGTGTCAAAAACCGCCTATATTAGAAACTTGGATTTCGAGTAAGATTACTCTTATTATACTAACTAGCATTGATTTGACCAATGAAATATGTAGCCTTGGACAACATCTAAAAAGTAGGAATTTTTTGTCTTTTCCCCTGTCCATTGCCTTCTCTTTTCTTTTATACTTCTTTAATGCTCCCCTATTATAATAAGTAGGTCACAAGAAAATAAAGGATATTTCTGTGCATGGGCAGATCCAGACATGGATGGAACTATTCAAGGGCAAGGGGGCCATGGTCCCCCTAGACTCAATCCTATAGATATCCAATTTGGACACTACCTCTTGGTGTGCCGGCTCCCTTATCCCAAACAAATACCAAGTGTCCATAGACAAAAAGAACTCTAAGTAAAGTAAAAACAACAAGAGCCCTAACTTAAGAAACATAAAACAAGTTAAGAAATAGTTCTAACCTTAGGGAAACAGAAGAACAAGGCAAAAGGCCTAGAACATTTGGGAAAAAAAAAATCGAGCATAAGTTAGAGTGTGAGTTAAAATGCATCAAACTCTTTCATTTTCTGTTTGATCAATTAAGCAATTAGTTTTGGATTAGACTTTGGAGATTTTTTTCAATCACGAAAAAACTATTATATCTCTTCTTTATAGAGTCTATGTGTTATTAATTGTCTATTGCTTATGTTTATTTTTTGCCAATAATTTTTCTTATGTTGAATATAATACTTCTATAAGATGTACACATAGTTCTTGATGTTGGAATGAGTTTTGTAAATAGGGATAGGATTTGGTCCCACCCCGGTTCCATCCCTGGATCCAGAATACAATTTTGGTTGGTAAGTTTTATTTCAATCTATCCAAATATCGATCGGATAACATGGTACAGTCATTTTTATGTCAATAAAGGCCAATAGCAGAAAAATGAAAACTACTCGTAAGCCAATCGTGAGTGATTTCACATTCAATTTAAGAATACAAAAAAAAAAAAAAAACCGTAAATGTACTAATCGATGCAAAAAACCTCCAACATAGTCATCGATCACATCTTGTTATATTTTAGTTTTTCTCTAATTAAGGATAAATTATAATTTGTATTCTTAAAATATACACCCAATTCCTACTTGGCCTCCCTCAGCTATAAAATTTTGGATTCCGTCCTTGGATCGAAAAGTGAGTGATAGGGGGAGGCAAAAAAAAAAATAATATATCTATATATATAATTTTTTTTTAAATTGAGGGTGGGTCAAGGACTCCCTAACCCTAACCCTAATGTAAGTCCGTGTGTGCGTGTGTGAGTGAGAGAGAGAAAGAGCAAAAAAAAAAAATGAACATGTTGTGAACTACATGTTATGTTACGTGGGGTATATTGGAAGCACATGAGGAAAGCATGAATAGTGTATGGGGCCTTGAATCAATAGGAATCCTAAGCAGCTCTGTGCTGAGTGAGTCGACAAACCACTCAGTTGACTCAATGAATCACTGACTTATATAACACACCTAAATTAGGGTTTGATTACGACACCGAAAATTTTGGTTCAATATCGTACCACTTATCGCTTTTTCGGTTATGCATACAACTTTTTTTTTTTTGGTACATAGGAAAATCCAAACATATTAACAACTGTTTAGGTAGAACTTATTAACAACTGTTTAGGCTACATTCATTTTGTTTTTGTTCCAAATAACATTTTCGTTTTTGTTTCTAATGACTATACATAAGCTAACATTTCCTAGTAGACAAGAATAAAAAAGATGCTAAACTGGTAATTCTCTATCCAAAAGTGAGTAGTACGTAATACCTCCTGTATCTTATGTGTTAAGTAATTAATGGAATGTAGTAAATTAATTAGCTATAGCTAGATATGTAATGTATGTACCTGCAATTAGCATAAGAATGTTGATATCGAGTGTGAAGTTGCGTATGGCAGCTATGGCTTTCAAAACCATGGGAAATATACCAACAGCAACAGCCCCAAGAGCCACCCATTGAAATGGGCGATAAACGAATTTTAAAAACGATACCAAAAGCAAAACACCACAAGCAACTGCAAATGGACTTGGCCATTTCTTCTGATAATTTCCACTTCCATATGCTCTAACATTTGCTTCCAATCTCGCTTGGTTCAATGCCTTAACTGCCATTCATCATCACCATAACAATGTTTTATTTAGTATATACTTATGACCTTTTTGCAATCTCGAAAAATGCACAATGGAAAGAAAAGTAAAGCAAAAACGAAAGACAATTTTATCAGCTAAATTAGAAATGAGAAAGTAATGATCATGAAATCACATTCGCAGGATATACTTGATCAAGCTATTGTTTCCGACCTAAATACCCCCATGTCAACTGACATAGTCCGAAAATATTATTGTAATTACAACTATTGATTATTTTTTTATTGACAACTTTTCAACTCATACATTATTAAGTCATGGCAGTAGATAATATCATAAGTTAATTTCTAGAAATATTATTGTTATATGTTACTACAATTTATGGTTTATGTTGATGAAAAAGTATTACAGACTGTAGAGTTGCTAATTCTGAACTCAATCATAAGAAACTTGGCAGTGAAGAATGTAAAGGTTTTTGCCCAATTATATCATCTTTTTTCTATATATATATATAGCGATTTTCCAACTTATTTACCGACCTAACATTGTTTACATGAAATCGTTTATTTAGCTTACGTTTTACATCAACAAATGTGAATGGAATCTACGTTTTGATGTGGAACATGATTGAATATGAAATAAGTTAAAAATCATGACATAGAAAGAATTAGGGGCGGCCTAAGACATTTTAGAGCCTAAAGCAGAAACGATAAATGATGCTTTTTTACTTTTAAAATTATTAATAAATCTAATTTTTAATTTTTTTAAATACAAAAATATTAATTAAAATTTTATATTCAAGTTTTTGTTACCATATTTAAACTTAGTTGTAAGAGAGAGAAAGAATAGTTGAAAATTTATGATAGTAAGTTTAAACTTGACTTTTTTGAGGGCTAAAATTAAATTTTTTAGTACTTTTAGTTTTACTATTAATTTTTTTATTTATTTAAAAAAAAAAATTTAAAAGTCTTTTAATTTTACGGTTGAATTAATAAGTCAATCTACTTAAGTTGAAATCTTTTGTTTGTGCATGAATTTAAATTTTGGGGATTAGGGAGGCCGGTCCCTTTTTATAGACTTATTTGGGCTTAAGTACACTTTAAAAATTTATTTGGGGATATGTCAATTTTAATCTACATTGTCCAAAATACCCTCAATAATTATATTTAGTCAAAACTTGTTTGAAAAAACTAACAACTCCTAAATTGAGAATTGTATTAGTATTAACAACTCATATCTTGTAAATTGTGATAGTATTAAAATTATGTTTCTATTAATATAAAAATAGTAACATCAAACAGGAATACAATCAACAAAACAATAGTAATATTAAACAGTAACACACTAAAAATAATAGACAATAATTTTAATACTAGCACAATTTTCTAGTTAAGAGTTGTTATATTTGAAAATATTGAAACTAACAATGGTAGACAATATTTATGGTAAGGGTAATTATGGAATACATTTCAAAAAAAAATTGAAATGTTTTAAAATGTATACTTATTGACAACTATTTGATAAAAAAGATGATTTAATAGAGTATAAGTTTAAAAATAGTACTTAAAGCCAAATAAGTTTTACAAAAGATATTCACAACCAATTATCCGTTAAATTTTTTGTTTGCCTTATTACTACACACTTATAAATTATGAAGGTTTCCTCCAAAGTGATGTCTTAAATATTTTTTGATAGAATTTGTATGGACTATTTATGATATTTAAAAATGTACGACTTTTTTTTGAAAATGGACCTAAAGCCCAAACTTTTCTGATAAGGCTGTTGAGCCGCCTCTGGACGATGCCTGCCAAACTTTTCATGCCAGAATATTGTTGGGTCCATACAACAAACAAGTGGACCACTCAATCAGTCTAACTTGTCATGCAGAGCCAACTTTAGTTTTGTCATGAAAGCTATCTTTACATTTGTCCAAACTAGGATTAATTATATGTTAATCGTATCGTATCAATATCATCGGTCATCATCAACTTCATAAATCATAAGAGATCGTACTAAGTATACAAAATTTTAATCTATTATCGAATTAGAGAAAAGTCTGTACGAATATAATAATTTTCATATTAAAACCCGCAACCTATCAAGAGCATTTTTTTTAATTAAAAACATGGTGTTTCTTACAAAAAATGCAAAATAGAAAAAAAAATAATGGGAACTGCTGCAATAGTGATGCTGACGTGATGAGCGAAATTTAAATTACTATTAGGATTTAATAATAAATAACAATAACTAATTTTTAGATTGGAGCCCGTAACATATCACAGAAATTGATTCGGTTGAAAACATGATCTTTCTTACAAAACATACAAAATGAAAGAGAAAAAAAAATAATGGTATGAGAGAGGAAGTCACAGCCATTACCAATTTGAACCTGAGAAAGGAGGAGAGTATCATGAACAACAATGACTGTTCTGGAGGGGACTATGATGGTAATCTCTTTGACACCATCAAGAGGTCTTAAAATCTTTTCAATCAAAGGAACCTCTGATGTACAGCAAAGACCCAACACATCAAAGTAGCTTTTCTGCAATTTTTTGGCTGCACCTTCTTCAGTATAAGCTGCCATTTTAGCATATATATGTTCTGCACATAACAACAGATAGAAAATGGTAAAATCAAGATCATGCTGCTACAAATAAAGCTAATTTTTTGGATTGGAAAGTAGATTCTGCCCATTAATTTGATCTGTGTGAGTTTACTAAATGCCTCAAACATGAAAAAATTAAAAACCAGCAAGAGTTGGAAGAAGCTGGGATTTTGACAAGCAGTATGAAATAGTAGAAACAATACGATTGCTCACGATTTGATGAAAATTAAATTCTTTGATAGAGCACAATGGAAAAAGATCTACGAAGGGTCTTCAAGAAATTTGGAAAGCACAACATAAGGATGAATCCCTATAAATGCTTTTTGGGGTAATAACTGTTAGGATCAGTGTAATCCACTCAAAACAGTTGGGATAGAGATGGAAATAAACTCTCTGATAAAGCACAATGGAAAAAGATCTACAAAGAGACTTGTAAAGCACAACATAAGGATGAATCCCCATAAATACTTTCTCGGGGTAATAACTATTAGGATCTGAGTAGCTAACTCAAAATAGTTGGGATAGAGGTCTTGTTGAGTTGAGTACACAAGAGAGAGAGAGAGAGAGAGAGAGAACCTTGTAATGAATCGAAGCCAGAGAGGATTAACTTTGTTCAAACTTTACTTTGTGGGTGGCAAGAAGACGGTCGAGGGGGTTAGAAAGATATGCAGACGGTGAGATATAAAAAGGGAATGAAGCAAGTGTAATGAAACGATACTCTTCAAAAGGAACAATGAATTTAGAACACAATCTGCAATGGGAGAAAAGTAATTTTCTTTGGAAAGAATAAATTTCTCACCTTTTGAAGGGGTGGATTAGATTTAAATAATGGAGAATCAGTTACAATACAGAATGGGAGTCCTGTTGGAAAACCCACGGAAATTATTCTAATATATACAAGTGTGTGAGAGAAGTTAGGTAGAAAATTTGCAATAGTTTAACACATCATGTGCATGTACACCCAATGCAAAAGATGTCAAAAAAGCAACTTGTGGGATATACAAGTTGGCTTTTTCTGATAAGATGATAGGTGACAATTATTAATTGGATATGTAAATTTTTTTTATTGATAACATACACCATGATATTAAACCCACAGAATAATTTCTCCGACAATTATAGGCTTATAAGGTAGTTGAAGTCAAAATAATGTACGAGTAATATAGATATTTTTCTTATAGGTGAATACTAAATACCCTTTGAAATTAAACAAATTTACCGTACCGAATTTTTTGTGAGTATTTTTATCATTTTTTTAGAAACTATGTTTTACACCTTTTGTTATATTTGCGATCGATCCTAAGAATGATAGGATCGATTGCAAATATCACAAAAAGGATAAAAATATTCATAAAAGTTATAAATCACATATAAAAGTTGTAAATTTTTTTATTATAAAATGATTCACAAAAATTATTAAAATAATAAAATTTAGAGGTATGATACTGGAATTTATTTTTAGGTACAGTAATCAAGCCCCTTTTCAAATAATGATGAAACTGACAGATATATACAAATAAAAAAAAAATTGTTTCATTTGGTCTTGCGTGGGGGTGCCTCAATAAACATTAATTACCCCGTTGCCCCAATGATTTTGGCAACTTTCGAATTCATTTATAATAAGTCGAATTCTGCATTCGACAAATGATCTAATGATCTAATTCTTTGCGTAAGATTCACTGTATGAAAAGAAAATAGATACTATACCAAAAATTACAAATAAATAACGATTAGTCACAACTTATGAGGGATCACGTAATCACTTAAAAAACCTGTTAAGATTATATGGGATCAAGTACAGATTAAAAAAGTTAAGATCAATTCTAAACGCTCTATTTTATCGTAGACTTTCCGGCTTGAGTCGTAAACTCAATTGAACTACTTTTAATATATTACAAAATATAATTTTACGGTATCGTATCTTCACCCATTTCTTTTATTAGCGGGTTCTATGAAGCATCCAATGATCATACTGCCACATCAATTTGTAAAAATTGGAATAAAAATATGGTATATAATCAACAAAAATTAACCAAGGCTGCGCTCCTTCTTGAATATGACAGTGCAAGACTTTTCAATGAAAATAGAAACTTCCAATAATAGAAAGGATGCTTGAGTAGAAGTCTGCAGCAAAGCTGTCTAATAGCGATAAATATAGAAAGAACAATCGTATGTACAAAGACAGTGCGTCCTAAAGCTTATTAATGGTCCCTCCCAAAAAAAAAAAAAAAAAGGTTTTATGTGAGTTTTTTTCGATATTGAAAACTGCTTCAATCATTTATTCTGTCGTGCAATGACAATAATAAATTTCAGATGCCCACAATAATGCATAAATCATGGGGCGGTCATTTTTCCGTTATATATATTAATTAGTAATAACTAGTGTCTGAAAACACTATGTAACACAAAGAAATTGAGCATCAATTGTATCAAGATTTAAAATTAATCTAAGGACACTACTTAAAAAAAAATTTGGCAAAATTTCCCCTACAAATAGTTCACCAAAAAAAAAAAAAAACTACCCAATTTATATATTTTGTACTCATACCCAAGAACCTGTAATTAACTTCAACTTCGAAATGTGAATCAACTTAAAAGTTTTTATTTACACAATCATATATTACCAGAAACCACATCTTAGTCACATTTTTTACATACATAGTGATGATAAACAAAATGATTTTGCACACCACCTGTCAAGTGTGAATAATAAATGCAAGAAAATAATATCAGGAGATGGAGAGACACAAGTAATTTATAATGGTTCGGTCAGTTCGACCTACGTCCACTCTTCAATGACTCTGGCTACTGGGTATTTTATTAACTCAAGGGTGTGAGGAGCAGGGAGTACAAGCTTTAAAAGAGAGGAGAGAGTCGTGCTCAGGTAAAACATGATTTGCCCCCCAAGTGTTGGTGGGGCTTACAATTTATAGTCGCCCTCTTAATAGATTTGGGCAAAATATTAGTAAGTAGTTGACTAGTTTGTTGGATCTGACAAACTCTTCTCAACGTGTTAGGCAATTGCAGTGCTCTCCATGAGATTCGGTCAAAGGATGAGGTGGGGCGTTGACCATCTTTAGGGCAGCGAGGATAGGGCTTTGAATGACCTTGTTTGCTCCCTTAGCTCTTTGAGCTGCTAAGTTTGACCGGGCTGACCACACTGATGAGCTTGAACGGGTTAAGCTAATGAGCTTGACCAAGTTGGCCACACTGGACTGGATTTGCTAGATCTCCTAGAGTCGGACTATAAACTTGAACTGGGCTTATAACATGAGTTGAATCTTTGGGCTTCACCCATCATTTGCCCCCCAATGCCCTGTGTCCAATGGACTTGGAAAGAAGGGCATTCAATTAAGTTTGAATTTTCCAAAACATCTACTTCCAAGTCCTTTTTGGACTTTTTACAAAATCAATCACAACCAAAGGCTTTGAGTCTTGTAGGGTTCGTCGAGAGCTTCGATTTGATAAATAATAAGCCCTCTTTGAAGTTACAGAGTAAAATTTACGGTCAAAACTTCAAGGTAGCTAGACGTGCGTTTTGAGCGAGCGGACAGTGTTTTGGGCGAGCCTGGGGCTACCTTGGGCGACCTGGGGGTGCAACCTGGGCACTGACAGGGGTTGCCTGGGCATGAGCCTGGACATTAGGAGCTGGAGGTGCAGCCTGGGATGCTTGGGCATTAAGTGATGGAGGTGCAGCCTAAGATGTCTGGACATCAAGAGATGGCGATGCAAACTGGGATGCCTGGGCATCAGGAGTTGGCAGTGAAGCCTGGGATGCCTGGGCATCAGGAGATGGAGGTGCAGCCTGGAATGCCTGGACATCAGGAGATAGAGGTGCAACTTGGGATGTCTGGGCATCAGGAAATAGAGGTACAGCCTGGGATGCTTGGGCATCAAGAAATGGAGGTGCAGCCTGGGATGTCTAGGCATCAAGAGCTGAAGGTGCCATTTTAGGCGCTGATCTGGGCGCCTTTGGAGCTGTTTTGTGCAACTTTGGAGGGTCAAACAGCGTTGGGCTACCCTGTTTGGGCGAGCAAAGGTGGTCAGACACCTTTCCAAGTGCTAGGCTGCCTCGTTTGGGCGAGCATAGAGCGTCAGGCACCCCTCCAGATACTGGGCTGCCTCGTTTGGACAAACACATAGGATCAGACACCTCTCGAAGTGCTGGACTGCCTCGTTTGGGGAGCACATAGGATCAGGCGTCTTTGGAGTTGTTTTGTGCAACTTTGGAGGGCTAGACAGCTTTGGGCTGTCTCGTTTGGGTGAGCAAAAAGTGATTAGGCACCTTTCCAAGTGTCGGACTGCCTTGTTTGGGCGAGCATAGAACGTCAAGCACCCCTCTAGGTGCTAAGCTGTCTCGTTTGGGCGAGCACATAGGATCAGACACTTTTTGAGCTTGGTTGTGATGACAAAAACAATGTTATTACAAACATTAAAATATTTCACATAATTATCTGCAGGGAGAGGTAGGCTGCTTGCGCGAGAGCAAAGACAGAGTTGAAGAACTGCTCGTGAGAGAGCTACACCTTTTGAGACCTAGCTTTTGGGGACCCATGAGAGGGTTTTTAAGCTTAAGGTATAGGCCGCCTGTTTGAGACACCTTTTGTATTTGTTGGATCTCTTAGAGTCGAACTATAAACTTGAACTGAGCTTATAACATGAATTAGACTTTTGGACTTGGCCCATCACGTAGAACTGGAATGCTCAAAAAGGATGTTGGTACCAATAGTATAAGCTCATTGAAATGGGTTTCAAGCTACTAAAAAATTATAGCAATACAACCACTGCTCATTTCCATCAATCATTTAAAACTAGGTGCATCAAAATTCTTTTAATCATTCAAAGATTCAAAAAACCTTGACATAATAAAAAAAAATGCATCAAAATTTTATGAAAAAAAGAGTTTTAAATTAAGAGAAAAACGATAGCTCACAATTTTGTAATTGAAAGAACTAATGCGAATAGTTCGTTGTCGATCC